GTGATCCCTTCATTCTCCCAACCTGAGACCTCAGTGAATGTATCGAGTGGTTCTCTTAGTCATAAACATCTGTGTGTATGTGTGTTTTGGTGGAGCTAGAGAGAGATGGTAGAGATGAGAGATGTCTTGACTGGTTTTCAGTAATAATAGCTCCCATATATTACAGGTACATTATGTTCCAGACACAATAGTAAGTGCTTTAAACATATTTCCTCACTTAATCAACACATTAATCTTGTAAGAAAAGTTATATTTTACAAGAAAATGTCCTGTGGGAACATTGGGCCACTTGTTCATACTTCTGCTAATAAAGATGTTAGTTCAGCAAAGTTTTCTGACTATATACTAAAGATATTTTCCCCTTATGCAGTGACTGGAATATCTGATTATAATCAACTAAATAGTCAGCAGACGCTGAATGTACATGCATTTAACTGATGTGGGCAGAGTTCAATCCCAAGTTGACACCCTCCACATATTAAAATAATGAGAAGGTTTTTTTGGATTCTAGCCTGGGAAAAGAAGTAAAGATGACTCATTTATTAGTTTGCTGAATGGCAGATATTTGAGCTGATGCTGGAGGAAATATAATTCCATGTTATTTTTTCCTAATATCAGAAATGCACAATAAATTAAAAAACACAATATTTCTTCATCATATAATTTAATAAGCCATGATTTTCATCTCAACAGAGGCAGCCAGGTCTATGTAAACCTTTCAATCTCTCTGAGGTTCAGCTTTCTCATCTGTAAAATCAGATTAATACTCAGCTTGCAAAGTTATTAGAAGCAAGTATGTAAGGCACCTGATATACTGCCTGTCACACAGTAAGTACTCAGTTAAATGTGTCTATCCAATCACATCTGCCAATCTCACTTTCTATATAAGCAGATTGTTATGATTTTGCACAAGCAGGGCATGTCTTTTCACTATAACATCTTCCAAATTAATTTATTCCTTTTATTATGATAAGTGGGGAAATATATGAAAATCTGACAGAAAAAGCTCAAGATAATACCTTCAGGCTAAAATGTAGGAACTTCTGTGATGTAATCTCTGTGTAACACTTTTTTTTCAGCCATTTCATGAGTTCCGTGTCTGCAATCTTGTATGGTAGCTAAACTTAGCTACTTGTTTCTCTCCTTTACACGATGTTCCTTTATGATACTGAAATGACTTTTTCTTCTTTTTCTGCTCGGTTAATTCTTATGCAGTCATTATATCCTCCAAAAAGCTCTCCCCTCTCCACCCCAATCCCATCCTCCAGCTCCACTTGATATTTTTTCTCCATGTTTCCACAGCAATCCATGTTTACCTTTGTTATGATGTATACTGAATTGTCATAGATGTCATAGGTGGTTTTCTCAACCGTTTCTCCCACCAAATAAAAAGTCTTTAAGGTTGGGCATCTGTTCCTAATCTAAATATTGCCAGAATCTGATATAGGCCCTGGCTTGTGGTTGATACTCCATTGCTGCTTGTAACTTGTTGAATGAGGTGGATGGTTTCTTCTCCAGGGAAATGGCACACCAAGAGCAAGTACCTTAGAATGTAAGGATAAGAAGGTCATACCATGCCAGTCAAGACTTTTGGTTCTGATAGTGACAGTATAACACACCTTTGGAAAGAAGAAAAGTCTGTCACAATGATAAATCTTTAATCATCTTTAATAGCTATAACAAATGATAATAAGGAATTTAACATCTTCTCAAAACCATGTATTCAACCTGTATGTACTCTTTAACAAAAAGTCAAACATTTATGTTAGCTACATAATAGTATCTAATATGGAGGCCCCAAATCATCTTTAGTCAAGTTTTAAGGGGGTAGCTCCTAGATTTAAAATAAGGATTTTAATAATAAGTGAATTCATTTATAGCTACCTTATTTTTTCTTTCTGATTTGTTAAACTTTAATCATAGCTCCTTTGTTGAAATTATTCTAGCCTCAGGAATTGTAACTTTTTATCTTGTTCTTTTTTCTTTAAAATCTGGGAGGAGAATTTTCACATTTTGTTATAATTATCATCTATAATGAAACCAAAACAAAGTCTACACCAGCTAGCAGGCCAACAAAGACATTTTAATTTATATTTATAACAACTTGAGTGGTTATAAGGTGCAAGCTGAAAAAATCAAGATGGTAAAATTCTGTGAATGTATATAGTCAGGAAAATCTATTTGGTGCTCTCAGGTCTATAATGACTCACAATGATTTTCCTCTTGGTTAAAAGTCAGTTTGCTAAAATCTATGACTATTTTAGGGAACAAATGCATTTTAAAGACCATGTAAAAAGAAATGAATGTTTTTCTTTCCTATTTACTGAGATCTTTTCCCTCTTATAGAGCCTGTCCTGTTTCATCAACAAGAACTATTTGTAGAAGAGATTTTCTAAAGGAAGAAAAATTTGCCTCCAAGCATATGAAAGAAGATGCTCTTAATGTGGTGATGCCATGGACTACAAGGCAAAAGTAAAAATTTCCTATGATTATAATCTACCTTTTACTGTCCCTGTGACTGCTTATGGCTTGCTTACTGGTTCCCCTCATTGGCTATACCAAGTTTTACTTGAGGTCATTTAGATGTAGATGGTGTTGGAATCACCAAGGATAAATTGCAATGCTTTCCGTGTGACTTGTCCTCCTTTCCATATTGACTTTAGAAACAGAAGTTGGGGACTCACAGTAAGAAGCCCATTAGACTAAGAGTAAAAACAAACAAACAAAAAAATAAAACATGCTTCTGATGCTTTCTAGTTGTTCTTACCGTGGGTAACTCTGTAAGGCTTCAAGTGAGCGTAGCACCATGATAAGGTAGAGGCTTTTTTTGCCTAAGGGATTTTAGAGGATTTCAGTGGTCATGGCAGTTCACTCCCCAGCAGCGCTTCATCTCCAGATGATCAATGCAAGACAGTGGTTTTCAAATTTGGCTGTACAGTGGAGTCATCTGGGAAACTCTGGATGCCCTGGCCACTGACCTTGGGAATGCTATGACTTTGCTAGTAACCAGTTTATAAATGAGCATGTGGTCCAATTCTGGTCAACAAAATGAGAAGCAAAGGCTGCAGGAAAGCTCTGGGAAAAGATTTCTTCCCCCAAAAGAAACACAAGAGAAAACAGGAACTGTTAAAACTCACAGGTTGAAAATACCTCACGGAGGCAGACAGAGCTGCCAAATCAGACAAAAGTGAAACTAAAATGTGGAGCACCTCCAACCTCTAAGTTTCCAGTTATCTGAGATTATAAATTCCCTCATTAAATAAATCAAATTAACAGTTATTCTCTTATTAGCAATTGAAACCTCCTAAGTGATTTTCTCCAAATAAGAAATATTGATTATACTCCTGGTTTTTGTAACTCTAGGTTAGTAGTTCTCACAACTGCCTACATACAAGGATGAATATCACTTTTGAAAAAATGCAAAATCTTGAACCCCACCCTAGCCCTACTGAATCAGAATCTCTGGGGCAGAGACTAAGATTCTGTATTTTTACGAAATTCGCCAGCAGATTTCAATAAAGCCAATCTATACACCGGTGTTTGGGAATAACTATTTTTATAATAGAGTATAGTTATTCTATCATGAAAATAACAATTGAAAGAATTTTAAACATTATTTAGTACAACTTTATCACTTCACAGATGCAAAGATTGAGGCCTAAAGAAGTGAAATTATTTGCTAAAAAACAAAAATAAATTAGTTCCTTAACACAGGTAAAATTTTTGGTCGGTATTTGCATTTTGGCCTTTCTACAACTGGTTTTTCTTTCATTCTGAATCACTGGATAAAGATGTGGACTTATAGATTATGGACACTATTCTAACAAACCAGCTTGGAAACTATCTGAACTACATACTAAAAGATAAATTAATAGACTGTTCAGCTAACATGTAGCTTATACCAGAAATGTGTTTCATGTACTTGCTCAGAAATATTATGAGTTAATTCTGCTGGAATTTCCTTGCCCTTTGCTCTGCTGAAGTAAGATGTGGTCAGAAAACAGAGGTCTAGGGTGAAAACTGCCAATAGTTCAAGCAAAATCTCCTGTCAGGCTTGTTTGATCTCCTTGTGTTTATTACCCTTTAGATTTGACTTTGGATATTTTCCCCTTGTTTTAGGATTCTTTAGCTTTCTACAAAACCATTTTAGATAATTGACACCATGTGAAAATTGGTATTTAGGTTAGGGGATCTTATTCAACATTCTGTAGAATGTTCTTTACATTGTACCACCAGTGAGGAAAAATTGCCTCTACCTAGCCCAATGATAATAATGATTATAGTAATAGGAGTAATAATAAACTGCAATAATGACTATAGTACCCCATTTTGAAGGGTGCTAGAAATAGAATGTCTTCATTAATTAGGTTCATATCTTTAGGTTAATTGTAAGTGGCTACTATAGTGAAATGACAAAGTTCAACATGTTGTTTCTGAGAAGTAATGTAGGGTGGGGCAAAAGTAGGTTTATATTTGTTCATGTTAAATCATACAAGAATACTTTGTGTTTCACATAGTCACAACTGTTAATCTACTTTTGCCCCACTCTGTATTTTGCTCTTCTCCACGTTTACTATAAGATTTTATTTTCTCAGGGCAGAATTGTGAATCTTCAGACAGCTTGCTATTTATGGATTCTTTAACAGTTCTGAATCTGAAGGGTGAGTATGTAGGGATTCTTTACTCTTCACACTCAGGATACCTTTGAGTGTGATGCACAGTGGTTTGGGGCTATGTGCATAGAGAATTCATGCTCCTTTGTGTCTGATGGATAAAATAATTTTTGTAAATATATGTATTTAAAATATTATTACTATTAGTTTTTGTTTTCCTGTTTCTTAGTATTGTCTTTTTTCTCCATCAGGTCTAAACTCAAGGATATTTGAGATGCTGAAACTCAATACATGGGCCACAAAATGTAGGGAAAACAAATCAGAAAGGGAAACACATGAAAACAATGTAAACTTTTTTTTCTTTCTTTTCTTTTCTTTCTTTTTTTTTTTGGTCAGAATTACATTTTAGTTCCTGTCTGTATCATTCAGCAGCTGAAGAAAACATCATCATCTGAATTCATCATCTGAAGAAAACAATGTAAACTTTGTAAAAGTAAGAGAGCTAAGTCTTAATTAGTGTTTTCCAAAGTATGTTCTACAGGACAATAATTGTACAGGATATCAAATAAAGTTACACGAAAAAATTTAACTGAGCAAATAGTATTGAGTAATTGAGTTAAACAGCACCTCTCAAAGCCTATAATACTCTACTACCCAGTGTGAGTATCCAAAAGTGAGACTTTCATCTGCTACCTTTCCAAAACATATTTGACCATCTGCTTATTTTTTTTAATGAGCATTTTGCAGAAGTGAAGTGATATGTCTTCATCTGTGGTATCTCAGGAACCACAATAAGGACAAGTCAGCTCACTGGTCTGAGGACAAGGACACTGGATTTCTGAAAGTCAGAGAGCAGAGCCAGAGGCAAAAGACTTCCCAGTATGACCGTATCTGCAAATAAGGAGCATTAGAATGGCCCATCCCACAGTCTTGACCACAGAAGCAAGGGGAATGCTGTCCTATAGTCCCTTGAGATTTACTGGTGCCTTCGGTTATGGAAAACTTTACCTACAAATTCTTTAACAATTTGATTGAATTTTTATTAAAATGCCTACTTCTATTTACACAACAAAATATAACACACACACGCACACATACCCCTCCCCAACAGGAGTCAAACCTCCAGTCATACAATGATTGAGGTCATCTTGTTACTGTTGTTGATGTCATGAATTTGTTAGCCAACTTTCCTATGAAGAGCTGGCTCTCATCCATATTAACTAGGGGCTGTATAAGAGGATCAAAATGAGGCACTCCTTTCTGACTCTGGCTTTCTCCTCCAGCATTAGAATGATAACCATCATTTACTGAGTCGTGTAAAGCACCTCTGTGTTAACTTTTCTCTTTAAAACAACCTTCTGAAGTCACCATTATTATCTTCATTTTACAAGTGAAGAAACCGAATCTCAGAGGGTTTAAGTAACTTGCCAAGAAAACACAGTTGTCTTCCAATCAGCCTGTACTTTAATAAAAGTTGAAAAACAGTAAATGGATAGCTTCAAGAGGTCAATAAAGAGGAACCGTTACTCTTGACAGTGTATTAATTTGTAAGTATCTAAGAGTCAACATGGTAGCTAGTTCTCTTTCTTTTCTCTCTAGGTTTGGTTAAAATCCTAAATCCTCTTTTCAGTGGTCAATTACACGAAACTCTTATCAAAATTATCAAATCTAATGCGTGTGTGTGTGTGTGTACATGTGTGTGTGTATTAGATTGGATAAGTGACAAAATATCTAAATGATTTTGTAATCAAAACCTTGCATTTATAAGCTGGTAAGCCAACCATGGAAAAAAAACCCCAAATATAAAGTTAATGCAATAATGGTGTTTATGTTTTATTACCCCATAATTATGCCATTCCTGTGATTGTTTTTCTTTTCATGCTGGTCTATAAAATGTTGCTGCCTCAACCTGTTTTAAACATCTACATTTGTAGGATTAGGACCAGTGATGTTTTGCCAGTTTCCATAAAAGAGAAGCCAGATGCACTCAACCCACCTTCTTTGATAAAGTCCTTCATTAATTTGACACCTGGAACCCTCAGCTGTTTTCTTTTTGGTGAAATTGTCCTGGTCTTTAAATAATAGTGTACTCTTTGTCATGAGAAGCACGTTATGAAATTAATTATTGCACTGATTTTTGTACTTTACTGTTATAACTTACATTAGTTATCTTCTTTATAAATGTTGATTTATTGCAAAGTTAAGATTCATTATTTTTTAGAGTGGTTTACTCAACTAAAATTTTCCATATGATCTTTTTTTTTCTTGCTATAAAATTCTTTATTCCAAAAGCACTTTCTACTTGTCTTTATTCATTCCAAATGCTGCCGAAATTTGATTTAAAGTATAGAGACACAATTAGTCTAGATTTGCCAAGATGTATTAATTAGTGGGTGGTTACTTTATTATTTTCCACAAAAGGGTTAATTATAGAATTCCTGTAAATGGTAAGTTTTTAGTGTGATCACATTTCTAAAAGTCCATTTTCTCGCAAGTTTTCAGCAACCAACCTCTTACATTTAGCATGGTACATTAGGTGAAGTATGTATGCCTGCATAAGTAAAAAGTGTCCTACCTGAAAATTTTGAAAACAAGATATTACTACTAGGAAATATGTTAATCTGAACTGCCCACTTCCCTTATCAATTGACAGTATATCTTGTCTACCATAATTCCAATATTATTCATTCCTTTAAATTAAATTATCTATTAAAACATTTTGAGAGTAAATATTTAATAGTATTTTTTTTCTGGTATGAACTCAATATTACTCATTATTTTAACAAAGGAAACCCCTAATAAACTTCCGGGTTTTATTTAAGCTAATTAATGATTAGCCTTTGACCCAGAATTATTTTCAAAAGATAAAATATTAAATTTTCTAATAGATATTTTTTGTTAAAGTTGGCCTCTGGGTTTATCTGTTCTGTTTGGAGAGTTTCCAGGCCCTCCTGGCTTTGACCTTGTAATCCAGTATTTTCTAGTCAAAGCGGCATTGTGTAGGAGCATCCCATGGCTCTCCCTTGACCTACATCTCTCCAGCTTTCCTTCTCTCTCCTCATTTCCTCCCCTCCCAGCAGCGCTGAGGAGCAATGAGGGTAGTTTCATGACTAATCCTTTGATTTTATAATAAATGATGCTGGAGGAATAGGGGCCATAGGCTAAATACTGCTTTTTTATAGCCTATAAATTTTAATATGCTCCCAAGTGTTTCTTAAGAAAAATGATGTCCAAAAACTGTTGTTCTAGATATCCAGACTATCTTTGCTATATACACTGAAAAGAGAAGTATACTGGAGACTTTTATTGTAATGGTGGGAAATTGTAACCCACCTTACCATTCTTTTGACATTGTGTCTCTAAGTGCTGACTCTGACTAATAGGTAGATAAACAACATGTTTGTATAAGAATCCTAGGAACTAACTTCAAAAGATACATATCCCCGACCTTCATGTATCCCAGCTCCAGGAAATCTGCTGACCTTCAACCATGAAGCCAGGATGCAATGAAGCCAGGATGACGAAGCCAGGATGACGCACACTGGACCGTCACTTGCTTTATCAGAATGGACTGTGCTCGTCTGTGCTCATCTGCATGTAGATAACTTTGCAACCCCTTCCCTCCTTATAAAAACCTCAGCCTCCACTGAGAGGTGGAGATGGCTTTAAGATGTGAGTTCCCCATCTTCCAGGTGGCCAGCACCTGAAAATAAACCACTTTCCTTTACATCAGCACCTGCCTCTCAATATTGGCTTTCATAGAGGCAGGCAGCGGGACCTGCTTTCAGTTATAGTATGAAGAGGTGGTAAAATGAGGAGGCCCTAAATCCCTTCTAGAGAAATTCTACTGAAATATTTGTAAAACTATCAAAACCTGAAAATATTTTTAGTAAGAGCAATGTGACAAGAAGTAAGTATGTACCAGGCTATGACATTTTTACAAGTGTCTAATTCAAAAAAGCTGTTTTTACCTCTAAAATGGGATTACAATTTCCATCTTTTATAAGAGGGTTGTGAGATCGAACAGTAAAAACGAAGAAGTTAGCAGAGCACACAGTATATAGGCAGTGCTTAAAAATTGTCCACTCTTCCCACTAACATCTTGGTGACCTTCTGTGCACTCCAAGCTCGGTGCGCTAACTAGCCACTTGCTGACACTGTACTGCTGAGGTCTGAGCCCTCTCCTTACAAGTCATAGGATTTGGTATTATTCTGGGACTCCAAATCCAAAATTATTATGGCATTAGTTTCAGCGAACTCATACTTCTATCCTGATTGCTGGCGTTAACACAAATCCACCCTGCCTCCCACAAATTTCTCATACCCACCCAGACTGCACAAGAACTATGATTAGGCCCTCTTCAGACACCAACAGTTACTGAGGTCTAGAAGCTCCTGCTGGGCCTCCTGGACTTCCTCACACATCAATGCCCACTAGCCTAAGGCTCTTGTTCTCTGCTCTACCAGGGTTCCACGCTGCTGACTCCTATCTGTGGAGAAATTCTCCTGTGGCTCTCAGTTCCCAGTCATTTCCCTGCTGGCCACAGGAACTCTCCTCCTCGCAGAGTGTGTCATAGCATGGAATTTACAACACCACTTTCTACAAGCTTCCCTACAGGACGGTATACAATAAATATATACACTCCTTGGCCCTTGAATCCTTCCCCGAGTTTGCTCTTCTGGCTTCCAGCTTTGATTCAGGTTCCTGTCGTATTCATTTACATCACAGGTTAAGTAAATGAAAATTAACACCCCAAAAACCAAGGCCAGCACAGAATAAGATAAAATTTTAAGTTATATAAAATGTACAGACATCTAAGCAAGGGAAAAAAACACCTATTATAATTTACTATGAAAAGAGTTAAAATCAGGCTATTTTTGAATTTCTTCTGTGTGAACATCAACTCTGAAAGATCACAAAATGACAATTACATCCCTCTAAGGAAAAATAAAAGTGAGACCCAGGAGTTTCATAGCAAATCAAGCTGTGTATAATGGGAACAGGATATTATCTGATTGCTAACATTTCTGAAACCTACCACTCAAGTGGGGTTTTTTAAGTTGTATATAAAAATAAATTCTGAATATTGAATCATATTTTACCATTGATTTCTAATATATTTCCAGAGATGTGTTCTCATAGAGAGTAGGAAGGGAGAAACAACAGTCATTTGAAAAGAAGTTTCTGCTTTTTTTTAGTCTTGGTCACTTTTATTTCCCACAGAACAACAAATTATCAATTTCAGAAAAAGGTGATAAGTAAGAAGTCATATTTTCAATAAATATTCAACTGATAACACAGTTAAATGCTATTTCTTAGACAATTCTCATTGACTCCATGGAAGTTGAATATGTTAAAGCCAATCAATGCACAGAAGTGGTTTTATTGCCAATTTCCTTATTGGAATTCATAGTCTGGAAGATTCAGCTAAGGAATTTTTAACTGAGAATTCAGAT